TTCATCCATACACTAGGCTCTTATTTGGCCTAAAAGTGTGTTAGATTTTCCTAATAGACCATGAACAGAAAAAATTGCAAAACTTCTCTCAGAGACTCAAATCCTGCTTTCATAGATTAAAATGAAATATTTTACAGCTTTTCAAACAGGACCCTTTTCAAATAGAAACCAAATAGAATGTTTTCTTTTTTTTCCTCAAGAAAACAAAAATCAGGATAAAATACCAACACACATAAACTAAAAGGCCATTGAAATAACCTCTTTTTATCTTTCTCCAACTATTCGGTTAAAAGCAAGCCCGAACACCCCCAAAACATCACATTATTTCTCTTTAAAAAATATAGATGGGGGAGCTGAGCTCTGCAAACCCTGCTAGTCCACCTGACTGTGCAGCAGGCATGGAAGAAATCAGTCAACACGTGATTCATAAACGATACAAGGCAGAGTAAAATCCAAGAACAAATCAAGAAGAATACTACTAAGTAATCAACAAAAATATACTTCAGTTGCACAGGAAGAAGAGCCACATGAGATGATCTTGGTGGGATGGCTTTCTCATTTGCACTATAATGCGAGTGAAGATTTAGAGGACACTCTAGCAAACAATGATAGACCCGCATCAGAAGGAGGCTGTCACAGTTATAAGATCTGTCTCTGGTGGGTAGACAAACCAGGTTAACATGAAGCTGAAAAGAAAAAAAAAAAAGCTTTTTTTTTAATACTTAATTTATTCTTATGGCTTTTTGCAACATGGCAAAACATTACAGCTTAAAGCAGACGTCATCTCCTCACAGAGGAGGAAAAGGTTTTGCAGTCAAATCAAAATTGTAATTAAGAGGTCATGGGTATACCATCCAAATGACACTGTGACTTTATGAACTCCAGAGATAATAGACTGCTTAGAAAAGAAAAGCCCTGGGGAATGATGAGAAATTTAGGTCCATCTATGCTTACAGTAATAAACATAAAAGACTGCAAAAACAATTTAAAACTTAGAATACCCACAGATGTATGGATAAAAATGTATCAGATGCCTGAATACCAGAAAAGGAAAGATTAAGGTATGCCGTGAAGGGGATGGAGCAGAGTCAAATAGAAAGGGTCCTCTTATTTTTCTTTGACTTCAACTGCTTTTTTGTCCCCATGGAGGATCGGGAGGAGGTGTGCCTCGGTATTGAATATCCAGTGGTCCAGTGGAAGGAGGTCATCATCAGAAAATATTAAGTACAAATACCTAGCGAGGGAAGCAAAAACATTTAAGACTCAAGAGACCATGTCAAGCACTGAATTTATAGACAAGGTGAACGCCACCGTTCATTTGTATGTCCCTGAGGGGATACATGCATTAGAGTAAAAGTGCCTCTAGACTTTAGTATTAGTGTGAGAGAATTGTACAATACAGTTCCAAGCCATGAGCTTCAGTAATTGAAGACATATTTGTGATTACTGCCCTGGGTGTAGAATGAGGATGGACTGCTAACAGCAAGGTTGGAGGTTCAAACCTACCTTCTTTCTCTCTGCTGGAGAAAGAGGAGGCCATCTGCTCCCACACGGATATGTAGTTTCCAGAAACCCTCTTTAGCGTCACTATGAGTCACAGGACACACTCCCTGCCAGTGGGTTTGGTGTGGTACAGAATGGCATTAGTTGTGGGTTCTCAGGGTCCACAGGAGAGGCATTTAATTACCGCATTAAAGTAAATCTGTTCTCTGAGGCTGCATGTACAAAGAGAAGTCTTATGGTTTGGTACTTTGTAAGAGCCTCCAATAGTTTATCTTTCAGGGACCCCTGGGTCACAGGAAGGCGTTCGGCGGCCACGGGGAAAGGCTGGACATTTGGAGTGTGTCCAGCAGCAACTCGGAGCAAGAGGCCTGCTGCTTTCCTCCCCGACAATCGACTCCAACACCCGTGGAGCTGCCATGACTTGGACCGGCTCCCTGACAACCGTTCATATCGGGGCCAGATGCTCGTGATCAGAGCATCTATCAGAAGACCTGCCCGTCGGTGAACTTCCATTTGTGGGTTGTTGTATCAAACAAATCTACTCCGTTCTCTGGAATGATATTAAAATCTTTTCCTCCTTAACCTCCAAATGTCCCCTGAAATCTTAAAGTCCCCCAAATGTCCCCTGAAATCTGCCTGCCTGTGGGCATGCTTTCCAGAAAATAAAATGAGAAAAATCTTCCCTTTGTAAAACGAGACGAAGGCCTGCCCAGATGCGGCCGCAGGGCCACCACTCACTTGAGCGTCTCGGCCAGGAAGAAGCTCTGCTGCACGTCGTCGTAGCTCTCGTGCCGCAGGTACACGTCTCTCAGGCCCGAGTAGCCTCCGTTCACCTTGCAGTGGCTTTCCAGGGCCTGCATGCAGAGAGGAGAGGAAAACCCGGTCAAGCAAATGGTCACTCGCTTTAGCGATCAAATTCAAAGGCAGTAAGGGTTCAAACTGTGTGAAAATGAGGAGTTTTAGGAGAAAACAGACCAAAAACTACCCCTGGAAAACAACAAAATGTAAATGCAAGTGTGGAAACTTAGAGGACTTGGGGACAGTACATCTTATCCAATTGGAAGCACTTTGGCATTCCGTTTCAGAGTAAATTTTCACTTTTTAAAAAAAAAAAACACCGTTCGGGAGCAGCGTCTTGAAAACGAGAGCGCGCAGGCGCAGGCGGCGGCCTGGCTTGTTTCTGTGCTGTGTTCACACCACATCCAGTCGTCGCCATAGAGACCCCAGGCCTGCAATGCGCCTTCTGCATTTCTACAGAGCATGTGTGCTGGTCCCTGGTCCAGAGATCCTGTGAAGGTCAACTGGGACAGAGTGCTGGACCAAAGGCAGCGGCTGCCATCCTGAGACCATCGTACTTTACAGTGCATTGTGGGGCACTTCCCCGTGATGCTGGTGACAGAGCTCAACGAAGAACATGGTGGGCAGTGACAACCATGTGGCTCGCATTTGGCCCTCAAATAGCCTTCTCACCAGTCTGGGGTAGACGCAGCCTGGCTCCTCGTCGGGAGAGCAGTGAGCCTGTGATCCCGTCGTTGTCCGAGAGCAATGGCGACTTGAGAAAGGGGCAGGTGGAGGAGGTTGGGGATGAAATTTCGGAAACCACTTTAGCGTAACCTGTCTTCCACTTCGTCAGCGGCCACCATGTTGCCTACTCTTTGTGAGCTGAAACGACACTGGCTGCTCGGTTGGGTGGCAGGGACCTTCATCTCTAGCCGGGGGCCCTGGTGAGATAGTAATCGCACGCTGGGAAACACCAGCGAGGTGGGCAATTGGAAATCAGCTGCTGCTCGGAGGAAGCAAGATGAGGCTTCCTACTGATGAGCAGTGAGTGTCAGAACCCCCCTGGGGCAGTTCCAGCCTGTCCTAGAGGGGGCTAAGAGTCAGAATTGACGGGGGACAGTGAGCCTGTCTTTTGAGCTTTTTCATTTCTAGGAAAACTTACTGTCCTTACATCCTGCGAATCCTATCAATTATATAGCCAAATAAAACTTTCCATTGTACAAAAACTGCCATCTGAAACCTAGTTCTAATTCAGAAGAATGTGGAGGAAAAAAAAAAAAGAACAGAGTTGCAGACTAGAATCCTAATATTTGTAATGAAGTAATGAAAAGGCAGAAAATTTTTAAATGACCAACCCAGTTACTCTTAAGTGCTCATGCTATTTTCCATCGGCTTGACAGCTTTCTCTCACAAACCATAGCCCTATTATTTAATCAAAAACAGAAACATGTACAGTCGTACACTCCTTCTTCTCTCACTTAACCTAACTATCAAGAAGACAGAAAGCATAGACACCTTGTTGGGAAACACCCCCTGGGCAGCAAAGGGCGTTCTGGTAAATAGAGGCTTAGGCATCAGGAGCCAAGAGAAGAGAAGACGGCAGGTGAATACTAGCCAGCTTGCATGAGCAGGAACACGATGCTGAAGCTCAGTTCCCATCTGTAGGTACTGATAATGAGGATATTGATTTTTCACACCAAGACTGGAGGGCCGTGGGAGGGAGTATCGGGCCAGGAAGAGAAGCACTTAATTACCATGTTAAAACAAATCTGACCAGCCAGCTGAGGGAACAAAGAAAATGCCTCATGAATGGTACTTTTTTAAAGCCTCTGGGAAAATAAGAACAATCCACTTAATAAAATAAAAAAAGAAGCTCTGATTCTATTCCAAGGTCCAGACCATGAGTCAACTAGGGAGAAGTGTGAAAAAACTTTCTCCACTTCCCTTCCTCTTGTGATCCTTTTTACAATTAAAAAGGTCAAATGAAACAGGCTGAAATTATTTTTAAGGTTAAAATATTCAGAATTTAGAAGAAATGAACAAACTTGCTATAGAACATGGTGAAATCCCATTTCCAGGCACTTCCTAGAAAATATTTTAACCAGAAACTTTTTCTTGGTTGTTCCTGTGAGGTTCTTCGTAATAAGCTGTGCTAACGAAGGGTCAGACAAGATAAAGAGTGGTCCCCACCACCCACCATGGACATTTCTGAAGGGTTCTTCCCTCGCTATAGCCAACCTTCGCTTTGGAGTATTCAGCCATGCTCTGCCATCCCCATCCCTTTCCAGAGCACCCATAACCAATCCCGGAACCCCAACGGGCCCAAGGGGGGAAAAACAAAACCCCGAACCAGACACCATCACCTTCTTTGTATGTAAATTGGGAGTGATGACGCTGTCCACCTGGAGCTGTAGTGAGACTGAAACAAGAGAGTCGGTTTTCAATTCCCACCGACCCCATGCTGTGACAGGTCGAGCCAGCTAGCTGCCTCACAGGGTTTTCTAGACATGGATCTTTAGGAAGTAGATCACCAGGTCTTTCCTCTGCCCTTGTGGATCAACCTGGGTGTTCAAAATGCTAACCTTTCAGTTAGGAGCCGAGTACTTGATCATGGTGCTGTTAGGTAGCTAGGGCAGGGTCCAGGTGTGTTTACTGAGCATGCTCCAATTCAGGCCCTGGGAGCCAGGAAGGCGGTACACCTGGATCCGTGCTGCGGTCTCGTCCCCCCAGCCACCCCCATCCCCCAGGTCGCTATGTGTGTGGGGTCCCGTGTTCAGTTAACAGTAAAACCTGAAACTTCTTTTATAAAAAAAAAATTCACTCGGATCACAAACCAGGCTTCGGCATGAATATCTTTCTCGTGTGCAGCCTAGGACCTAGGTATTACTCACCCAAGGAATTTACCAGTGCCACCTACTAGAGCAGTGGTTCTCAACCTTCCTCATGTTGCGACCCTTTCACAGTTATGATTGGTGGTGACCCCCCGATCATAACATTATTTTCATTGCTACTTCATAATTAATTTTGCTACTGTTATGATTCGGACAACCTCTGTGAAAGGGTCATTGGACTCCCCCAAGCTCTAGTAACTAAAACTATCCTTGAGTCACACTTGGGTAAAAGACAAAAAAAGTAGAAGACAAGAGGCATTTTTAATCTTTAAATACCTATATGCCTTCCTGGAAAAAGTCTAAATTCTCAGATTTTAGGAATGTGAAGCTCTCTCAGGCCCTCATGCTCAAACCCAAACCAAATCCATTGACATCAGGTTGTCTCAGACTTAACTCCCAGTGTGGAGGATTGCTGAGGCTGTAAATCTTTATAGGAGCAAATGGCCTCACCTCTCTACAGAGGGGCAGCTGGTAGGTTTGAGCCTCAGACCTCGCGGTTTGCAGCCCAGTGCTTCCCAAACAGCACCATCAGGACTCCTTCCTGGGTCCTCACCACTGGTCCTAATGTTACTACCAATATGTCCAGCGAAGCAGCAGCTGCGTGTCTGTGCGGTGAAGCCTGACAGAACCTCATGTCACTACACTCTTGGGACTCGGCCTCTACGCACCAGCATCCCCTCAGATTGATGTGAATGCTCATACTGTGGGTGACCATTGGGGGAACAATAGAGTATGGGAATGTTGGCCATAATTGTATCTTTAAACACAGGATAAGTAACAAAAACGTGACCCCCAGGACTTTAACAGAACAGCAAATGAGACAGATTAAGTGAGGATAAGAAGCATTCTCTTATTAACCAGATTAAAGATGAGAATAAATGGCTGGTCAGTGATATTTCAACAGTAGATCCCAGGGAGGGTTGAGTTTGGGCTAAATTCAAGGCTAGAATACACAGAACCAGGTAAAAAGGCCTGCCTAGGGAAAGGTTGTGGCAGAATGAACTGTGAAGAATAACCACATTCCGATGAGTGAACTTCCATGTGGAGAAGGGCTGGATACAGGGGATTAGAGAAATGCACATGCTAGAAATGTCCTACATCAGTTTGCTCCTTTACAATGGCAGCTGCATTATCTATATGTACCTCCACATCAGCGGTTTTCAACCTGTGGGTCATGACCGCTTTGGGGGTTGAAGGACCCTTTCACAGGGGTGGCCTAAGACCATATTTCTGATGGCCTTAGGGACTGAGACACCGCTCCTCTATCCGTCCCCAGGTGGGCCCACCCACATTCAGCTACGCTCACTTAAGGGGTCACCACAACATGAGGAACTGTATTAAAGGGTGGCAGCATTAGGAAGGTTGTGAACCACTGCCCTCAATAATGAAACCCATTGCCATCGAGTTGATGTCGATCAGAGACCCTAAGGGCGGGGTAGAACTGCCTCTTGGGTTTTTGAGGCTGCAACTCTTTATAGGAGTAGAAAGCCCCATCTATCTCCCTTAGGGCTGGGGCGGGTTTGAACAGCTCACTTTGCAGTTAGCAGCTTGATGTGTAACCACATTTACCTATACAATGAAGTATGTGTGCAATTCACATCCTGATAAAGCTCACACCATAAAGTTATCAGTTGTTTAATTGAGAACAAGAGAAAACACTTTCATATATTATGAAAAGTAGCAACATTTTTCATATTTTCATTGAGAAAAATGACAGCAAAGAACTGCTATTTTTACTAGGAAGAATCCTAAGTGGTACCAGAGCATAACAATAGATTTCTGCTAATTGTTGTAAGACATTTTTAGTACTGTACTGCTGGATTATAATGCGGTATGTTTTCATATCTTATTCAACATTATTAATAAGAAATTTTCTTAGATATGTGGAAAGTAGGCTTAAAAAGTAATATTAGTGAAGTAAAGCTGGGAAGGAAGATGATTTAAAAATATCTTTACTAACTGGAAATGTGGATGGGAAACAAGAACAGAACAAAAGAGGAGTGACAAGAACAGCAATGTAATAGCTAATGTTTCCTTGATCATAATTTCAACATAAGCCAGGGGTTCTACAAATTTACCCAAAGATAAGGTGACCAGATTTTAACATTGGTAAATCGGGACACCATTGATAAAACTCATATCCTGGTGAAACAGCCACATGGCAGCCGAAAACCGTATACCCTAGCTTGTCGTGCATTCTTTCCCAAAATCGGGACTTTTTTAAAACACTGTGGGATGCGGGAAAAA